CTCTCTCTCTCTCTCTCCGTGTGTGTGTGTGTGTGTGTGTGTGTGTACGTGTGTGTATGTGTGCAGACTACATACCCTCCTCAGTCGTCGTCGCAAAGCAAGGAATCGATATGTAAACTGCGCAGATGATCTCCCCAGAGTCCACCACACTCTCACCCCAAACCCAGGATATGTACTCTGCACAGATGATCTCCTCCAAGTACGTCTCCTCCGCTGAGTTAGTCGTTGACACACCGCACACATATTTCTGTGGCGACGACAGAGCCAACGTACTCTTCACACATGATAAGGAAGCTAGCGAGCTTCAGCCGGGCGAGTCACACAACTACAAACAAAGCAACAAACAGAGATACAGACGGACAAAGGAAAGAAAGACAGACAAGGCAGACAGACAGACCGAGCAATCGACCCACCCGCCAAGCAACCGACCAACAGATGGACAGACAGAGTAACGGACAGATGAAGAGACAGACAGGCACAGCAAGCCAGCTACCTACTGACTGGCTGGGCAACCTTCCGACCAACAAACCAACCGGCAAACAGACGGACAGACAGACAGACAGACAGACAAGAATGAAGACAGACATGAAGACATTCAGGAGGAAATACAGAAAAAAGGAGGACAAAACTTGAGCTAACAGGCAGCATGTACAACCAGAGAGAGGGAGAGAGAGGGAGAGAGAGAAGACTGTTGGGAAGAAGGGCTGATGCATGAGGAACAAAAAAGCGAAGAAGAAGAAGAAGAAGAAGAAGAAGAAGAAGAAGAAGAAGTAGAAGAAGAAGAAAAAGGATGGGGATAGACATCCTACCTTATGGTTGTTACAGCTGTCAGGACAATGCTGAACGCCACGTCACCCTCGCTTAAATACGCGGCATAGGATGACCTAAGCACAAAAATGTGAACGGCAGACCACATTTCAGAGAAGAAAAATGTGAAGAAACGCTGTTTTTTTTTTTCTTTTTCTTTTTTTCTTCTTTTTTCCTTTTTTTGGTTGGTTGGTAACAGCGACGAAAAGAAAACGCTGTTAATAAACTCGTCATCAGTTCTAAAAGAAATCTGTTGGCCCAGGTGCCAGGTGGGAGGACTCCAACCAAAGGGGGGGGGAGGGAAGGAGGGGGGGAAGACGGGAGGACTCCAACCCGAAACGTCTTGTATGCGGTGTGTAGGACAGTGCTAGCCATAGACACTGCTGTTACTCGATCGGGATGGGGTGGGGGAAGTAGATGGGAGGCGCAGCTACTGGCGTAATCTTTGCATCAGCCCCTCCCCCCTCTCCCCCCCCTTCCTCCCCCCCCTTCCTCCCCCCTCCCCCTTCTTAGCGGTCCCACCCTACTCCCTGACCACTTCCCATTAGGGCGGGCCCCAATATGCATCCCCTTCATTGTGACAGCTAGCTATGCTTGCAGGCGTCCCCTGTATAGGGTTAGGAGTAGTGAAGTAGTGGTAGGCAGGCAGTGAAAGGGGGAAAACAAATCGAGAGAAGAATACAGATTAGTTTGATAAAGAAGGAAGGAAAGCAAAAAGGGGCCCGGGGAGGGGAGGGGAGGGGGGGAGGGATGACTTCTAGCCCGACATGTTAAAAATC